GTGTGTGTGTGTGTGTGTGTGTGAGAGAGAGAGAGAGAGAGAGAGAGAGAGAGAGAGAGAGAGAGACAGAGAGAGAGAGAGAGAGAGATGGGGGAAGGGGAAGCGGGGAGAGTAAGGTAGAAGTCAGCGGACGGGGATGCCAATCTTTTTTTTAACGGTTTGTCCGTCTGTGTGTGTGTGTGTGTGTGGGTGTGGGTGTGTGGGTGTGGGTGTGTGTGTGTGTGTGTGTGTGTGTGTGTGTGAGAGAGAGAGAGAGAGAGAGAGAGAGAGAGTTTGCATCCACCTTTTTACTGCATCACCTGTCATGTTTGTTTTTGCGAGCGAAGCCGCAACAGGTCATCTAGTGTGGAATGATTTTTCTAAGACACGTTTTCATTTTTCTGTCTCTCTTTGCTTCTGGCAGTTCGCCTATTGGTTCAGGAACTGACCGATCATGTGATTAATTTTGTTTCCCGTTTTGGCTATCTTCAGTGTGATGTGAATCTGCAGTTAGAGGGCCTTGACACATTTCAGGCTCTCCTGGACGAGTGCACATCAAATAGGGCATGCTGTGTGCGTGCGGGGCTCGTGGGGATCCTTCTTGAATGGTTTCCTAGTATTGAAGATGATATATTACTGGACAAGGTGGCAATATTGGTTCGAATGAGTGGCGGGCACAGTGTCAGTGGGAAGGATATGCGTGTTGTTTTTGGACTTCTGAGGAGCACGAGGGAAGGGTGCCGACCAAGGCATGCGACAGCACTCTTGCGCACTTTGCAGTCTATGGTTGCTGGCGAGGGGCCAGCTGTCTTCTATGAGTTCAGTGGCCGGGAATCGGTAAGATAACATGCAAGCGAGACACTTCCCCTGCACTTCTATCACAATGATGTCTGAATTGTGACAACAATTGTTAGAAAATCAAACAGAGCCAGAGGCTGAATCGTTTTGGGTACTGCACTTGACAATCTGATGTGTATTGTCAAGGAGCGAGTTTCAGTAAGGAAACATGTGTATCTGGTATGACTTGCACATACTTGTTGCTAACGTAAGGAGTGAGTTTCGGTAAGGAAACATGTATATCTGGTATGATTTGCACATACTTGTTGCTAACGTGCAAAAGGGTTGTGGTTTTGCTTGTGGCAGGGCATTTCTTTATCAAGTCCGTTGAGGTGGCCTGTGTCCAAAGGATACACTTTTTGTTGCTGGTTACGTGTTGAGCATTTTTTGAGAAAGGACCATGCAGGCAGTGTGTATGATGGTGCAATGGGCCTGTTCAGCTTCACAATTGATCGAGGCAAGGGATCTGATCACATGAAGGGCTGCACAGCACTCATTTTTGAGAGTGGACTGTCTGTGCAGGTGGGTTTGTCCTTGTGAGACCAGGTGCCAGGGACTTAGTTTTGCATGAGAGATGTGTTTCTCGGTGTGTGTGTGTGTGTGTGTGTGTGTGTGTGTGTGTGTGCGTGCGTGTGTGTGCACGTGCACATGTGTGTTTTATATTTTCACCAGAACAGACCCCGTTCCACCCAGATGAGTACATCCAAAAACGATGCAGCTTTACCTCTGTTGCAGACAGTGGAACCGTTTTACCTCTATATAAGCATCATGGAGCATAATAGATTCATCATATCCCTTTCTTGAGTATCTTTGCTTTAGGGTGCACCTTGTTCTTGCATCTTGCTTTTAACTGTGTGTCCCATGTACAAGGCTGGCCACGTTGATTGTGTTTGAGTGTCGGCTCCCACATACCTGCGTGCTGGAACGTCACACTTGCAAATTATTAAAGGAGGCAGGGTAAGAGGGGGTTATACTCCTGTACATTTTTCTTCAGATCTTGAGCTTATATTTAAATAATATTTTGTCATTTGCATGCATTTATTCGTAGTACACAAGGGGAGGGAGGGAGGAAGGAAGGAAGGGGTATGTGTGGAGTTCTATGGAAAGCAAGAAGAGAGAGAGACAGAGGCCCGTTCTGAGAGTGTGCGCAGCACAGCTGCCCTAGATGCAGGAGTACAACTTTGAAAACTGCTGTGTACAAGGTTTATGTCAGGGACGATGTCCTGCAAGGGTGCGCTAAGTAGGAGTACTCAGCTGAGTTCGGCACACCTTGGATGGGAAGCTAACTTCCCATAACTATACACATTCGGTGTGTGTGTGTGTGTGTGTGTGTGTGTGTGTGTGTGTGTGTGTGTGTGTGTTGGGGGTTGGGGGGGGGGGGGCGCGTGTGTCGTGTGTATGGATGTGTGTGCAGGTGTTTGTTTGTGCTTGTCTGACATTCTGAACCTCATATCAGAACTTTTTAGTGCAGGGCTACCATTGGTTGTCATTCAATACAAGGCATTTGGAGAGTGCAGACAGGTGGAAGCACTGCAAACAGGGTCATAGTCCGACTTGATGGATACCAACTGGGATAATGCAGGTCTTGGTACACAAAGCGATTAACAAGGTCTCTAAGCAAACTTCTTACGAGGTTAATGCCTTGTTGAAGTGCCAGACTCGATTATGAAAGGATTCACAGAATCCTGAGTCACGAGTCCCAGGTTGCAGACCTGAGTCTCAGGTCACATTTTCGAGTCCTAGGTCCCAGTCCTGAGTCCCCGGTCTCAGTCATGAGTCCTTGGTCCCAGTCCCAGTCCCAAGTCCCAAACCCCATCCCGAGTTCCATTAGGGCTAGCCAGGTTGTTGAAACCACCACTACCTTCAAGCCTGCTTTTGCTGACCCTGATTTTTACTGCGCACCGAGTTTTGCCGAGCCTGGGGTCCGTTGTGTTTCTTTTCTGGTACTCTTCTGAAAAAGAAAAGTAAAAAAAGCACGGCCAGATTTTCAAAAAACGATGTACTCACAACCACAAAAAAAAAGAAGAAAAAAGCGGACACACCTCTGGACGTGATACATGGTAGATACCTGCCCCAAAGTTGTTGTGCCAGTATGTCCTCACGGCAGGGGTGTCAGGTCCACAAAAAAAAAACTTAGGCTGTTGTGTGGGCATGCCCTCCTTCACAAAGTGTCAGCAGCCCATGGATGCCTCACTGGCAGCCTTGTTATATTCACGGATAGTTGTTTCTATATTTGATAGTAGGGGACTAAGGCCGAAGGGCCGCCGCCTGGCGGCGCCTATGGTCGCCTCTTCAATCTCTCCGTGTGGCATATGAAAAAAAATAAGAAACAAAACAAAAACAGCAGCAACGACAACCTGAAACTGGCCACAATCGTAGCTAGAGACTTTCTTGTGAGCATTGGTATGAGCACAACTTCGTGCACGGCCTTCCTGGACTTGGTCTTTTGTTTTTCTTTTTGCTTTTGGAAGGGGTCCACAAGGCCCAACTGCCGAGCCTCCGCCGACCTCCGAAAAGTTTGGAAAAAGTGGGAAAACAGCCACTTTTCCCATTTTTCCCAACACTGGTGGAGGTAGTGGTTGTTTAACAAGCCCGCCGCTCGATGCCATGCTTGCAACTTCACGTGGTTGCCCCCCAGCTGTCAAGTCCTACCTATCTACTGCATATCACCTCCTGTTGAGCTAAACCTAATTACAACAACAGAAATTGACAGCAGAACACCAAATATGACCCAGTACTTTCAAAAGTCGAAGATATCATGATGCAACATGTAAGATTGGGGATGGAAATCACTTCTTACCCAATCCTAAGCTCAAAACCTTGACCTGCCCTTCATGGCGATGCCTTCGACCACAAGGTCTTCACTTTGACCACTATCACAAGTCGCATATATGGCCAAGAAGCCAGCCAACAATTTAGGACTGCCAGCAACATCCTCAAGAAGTCCTTAACCTCACAATCAGAAGAATGTGGCTTGCGGTGAGGGACTTGTTCCCTTCTCAAGACGTACTTGGCCCCTCACTGAGTAGCCCGGTTCACTTGCACGCCACCCATACAGTATTTATGAATACTCTAGAAGAGTGGCTTTCATTGTGGGGGAATTTGGAACATGATCTTACCGATCGACTGTTTTGAAGTCCATCGACTGCCCAATGTATGGGTTCCTTTTTTTTTTTTTTTCATCTCCCGGTTGCGCAATGTATGGGTTCCTTTTTTTTTTTTTTTTTTTTTTTTCATCTCCCAGTCGTGTGGAGCCTCTTATTAATGTTCCTATTTCCATGGGGGGTGCCATGGGTCCTGTATATGGCCCGTAAGGAATTGCGAAGTGGGACCAATTATGCTTCCCGGTGATAAGCATCAGAATTACTGGGGAGGGACAGAAATTGCAGTGTGGGATGAACTTGCCCCAGCCCGGAGAGTAGGTCGAAAGGGAGAAGAAGAAGAAAGATTGGAGAAAGAAGAGGGAGGAGCCCGAGACTTCTGCCCAAGGAGAAAAGAAGGCAAAAAGACGAGGAGGAGGAGGTGAAAAGAAGAGGAAAAACGCGAGAACAACAAGTCAGAAAAAGAACAGGAAGAAAAGAAGTTGGAGAAGAAGAAAGCCTTCATGCTGCGGAAGGAGGAGGCTGCCGCCTAGATAGTGCAGTTTGTGACCGGTGAGCTGCAGGAGTTCACACTGGTCCAACCCCTGGCTTACGAGCACCCGCCTAAGCCGGATAGAGAACGATGAGCAGGAGTTAGAGCGGCTGTTATATCAGGCTAGGTGAGCGGGAGTTGAGCGACTGTTGAATCAGGCTAGGGAGGCTAAGAAGAAGGCTCAAGAGGAGTCGGGTCCTCTTAGCAAAGGCAGAGGCCGACAAGCTGCCAAATGATGTCGAGACAAGATGGATTAAGGAGGGGGCACAGGGGATTGCCATAGGAGAAGCTTCGGTCGATGCAGCAGCGGCCCTCAAACAGATCAGGGAGCTGTAAAAGTGGCATCATGAGGTCAATCCCCACACTTATAAAAGCGCTAACATAAGAATTGGGCAATCCGGGCCGCCTGCGGTCTTACCGGCCCAACGGTACAGAGTTTGCCCGATCTTAAGATTGTTAGATCGTGCGACGATCCTGGCTGCCTGTCCTACCGGGCCCATGGCTCAGATCGTCCTGCGATTTAAGACTTCAATATCGCTCGATCATCCAGGTCGTCCCCCCTGTCGGGCAGAATCTTTGCGATGGACTGACGATCTGAACCGTCGGGCCTCTAGGACTGTGGACAGCCAGAATCTTTGCGCTCGTTGAAAAGAAAGGCCTCTACGTCGGGCCTCACGCCCGACACCTGTTGAGCATTGACTCGTTGCAGGGCGGCGTACTCGACATACTCGATTTCAATGGCCCTCCCGCCGGCCCACCTCGACTCCGCTGTCGCCGCCGACCTCCTACCTCCACTCACCTCCCTTCCGCCTCGTCCAGCCATCTGCCCTCTGCCACCACCCACCATGTCCTCTCCGCCTCCGCCCACCTCTTCTCCACCTGGCGCCCACCTCA